TCAATTGTCTTCAGTGGCATCAATTCTTAATTAGTTCAGTATAGTTTTTCTTCCAGGGAATGTATGATAAAATCCAAAATTTTTGTGCAAAAATTGCCCTTCCCTACCCATTTCTGGTAGCACATTTTAGGTTAGCATTGTTTGGTGGGTGGTATCATACTTGCTACAGATACCATGCCAGAAAAATTTCTCTGCTATAAAAATATCTCCTAGTTGCTGTATACAAACCAACACCATTTAGTTTGCCCAAAACACCTACGTGATATTTTATAGTCTAATCATCAATTAATATTTCAAAGTGCCCTTTTTATTAGTTATCTCTCCCATCTCCAAAATTGGTCAGAAGTATCACTGCAGTATCATAGATGGGAAACTAAATATGAAAGATAAATGACCTGGACAAGGTCTCAGAATGAATTCATAGCAGAGCTGGTATTAGAACCTGTAGCTTCTGACAGGAATTTAGAAATAAACTTCTTTTTCTTTCTTTCCTCCTTCCCCTTCCCCTACCCACCTTCTTTTCTTCCTTCCTTCCCTCCCTCCCTCCCTTCTCCCTCTCCCTTCCCTCCCTCCCTCCTCCCTTTCCTCTTTCCTTCCTTCCCTCCCTTCCTTCAGTAATTTCCTGGGATTTATATCATCCCATCCTACTGGTGATTGAACCTAGAAGTCCTCTACCATTGAGCCACAACCAAGCTCATTTTGAGACTGGGTCTTGCCAAGTTGATTAGGCTGGCCTCAAATTTGTGATCCTCCTGCCTCAGCCTCCTGAGTTGCTGGGATTGTAGGTATATGCCACCACACCCAGGCAAAAATGTAGAAATTTCTGCATTTCTTTGCCAAGATTTTTAGTGCAAACTGTTCAGGTTGTAAACAATTTTAAAAGCAAATCTATGTTGAGAGGTGATAGGAATGGAAAAGAGGGAAACATACTATTCACTTATGTAAAATTTTCCTCAACTCTAGGTTTGCTTTTTGTTTGGTGACCCATTCCATTTACAGCTTCCATGTGGTAATTGAAGAAAGATAGTAAAGGGCCTTTCCCCCTCATTTCCATTTATGGAAGGTCAAGAATCTAATGACTGAAATAGATAGAAATTTAGTGTATAAAAAACTGTCCAGAGCACCCTTTTTTCCCATCTCAACCTCATTTTCTCCTCCTTTTCAAAAATCAGTTTTATTATAAGCACAATGGACTTACAGTCTTTGTAATCATTGTCATGGGGTCCCCCTTGAGCAACTAAACAAAGTAGGCAAATTCTGCCACCATTGTTGACCAAGGAAGCATGGGGAAAAGGAGGTTATCAGAAATGCTTACCACTAAAGCCACTCAAATTTGAAGCCATCAAATTGAGAAGGTTCGAAAATATTGTTTTAGTGTCAGAGAGGGATGATAATACCTGAAGATAACTTTATCATTCACAAAGGAACCAGCCCTATTTCCATGATTCCACGTGAGTCTTCTCATCCTCAAGTCATTCCAGAAACTTCCTGATTCCTTTGAGTGAAATAAATTTCCTTTCATGCAAAAGGTTGGAAGTAAGAAAATAACTTCCACATCATTTTTTTTTAAAGAAAGAGAGAAGAGAGAGAGAGAGAATTTTTTAATATTTATTTTTTAGTTTTCGGTGGACACAACATCTTTATTTTATTTTATGTGGTGTTGAGAATCAAACCCAGCGCCTCGCACAAGCCAGGCAAGCACATTACCGCTTGAGCCACATTCCCAGCCTCTCCACATCATTTTTTAATGGTTTTCTGTTTGTTTCATACATATTAGTGTGAGTTCTCAGGAACAGATCTCATTTTCCTTTGTAGAATATCAAGCTCACCCAAACTCAAAAGATTACAGCTGGGGTTAGGGATTTAGCTCAGTGGTAGAGTTCTTGCCTAGCATGCATAAAGTGCTGGGTTCGGTCCGTCTTGAAAAAAATAAAAGATATTAATAAAAGAAATGTAAGTCTTGTGTTCAAATGATGAGCTTTTGTTGAAAACCAATTATAACAAAAGAAATTGTAGAAATATGAATGTAGCCAAAATATGCTCTTTTCTGTCATGTACTCTAAAAGAGAAAATGAAACCTGCTACTTGACAAAGAACCATGGACAGACCTCTCTGTATGAAATAAATGAAAAACCTTAGAAATTGGGACATGAAAGTCACCTAATTCTAACTTATTTCACAAAGGAAATTTCCTTTTTCCATCATCTAACATAAATACTTTGGTAAGTTTAGTCACCAGCCAGTCCTTGGCTCCTGTTAACCAGGCGATTTGAAAAATAATCAGTATCTGTGAAACACCTTCACAGGATATGAAATGATAAGCACTTTTGGCAGACTTTGTCTCTAGTTTTTGTTTGGTGACTCAGGAGTGTAGGGAGGAAAATCCAAAGAAATATATTTTTTTTCCCCTGAGAATTCCAATCAAGGATGATGCTTCATGGTAGGTTTCAATGGAAAGCTTACAGAGGTTTATGAAAACAAACAGAAGAGCACAATTTTTAAAAAATGATCAAAGTGAAGTTTTTCTGCTTGCTATAGATTTTTAACATCCCATAAAGGCCCATGTATAAAAAGGTCATTCCCCAGCCTGTGGCACTACTGAAAGGTGGTAGAAGGTAGGGCCTACTTTAAGAAGCTTATTCCATTGGAGATTGTGCTCTTGAAGGGGATATTCGGAAGCCCATCTCTTCCTCTTTCTTTGCCTCCTGGACACCATAAGGTGAGCAGCCTTGTTCTATCCCATGCTCCCACCATGAAGTACTCTGCTGCCACTGACCAAAAGAGGTCAAGTAACAATGGACGGAAACCTCTGAAGGTGCAAGCCAAAATAAACCTTTCTTCCTTAAAGTTGATTTTCTCAGATAAAATTTCATCACAGTGATGAACAGCTAACATACTGCTAGAACCAGGATAGGAAGTAACATCTTCTCCTGAGCCTTCCCTTCTTCTGTCTGGCACCTCCAGCCCTGTTACCACATCCCCCACTCATCCCAACGTTGGCAGATACTTAATGTGTATTTCATTCATGTGGTCTATATCTAATTCTTTGTGGGCAAGGGTCATTCTCCTCAGTCATGCAGCAGCATACTGAGTAATCCCTAGAAATTAATAAGGATGGTCTTCCTCATCTGTACCAGACCTCCTGTTCACTAGGCAAGGAGGGGTTTAAATATGTACCATTTAGGCATCATTTACCAATTTTTTAGGGCTGCTAAGTACTGTCCAGGCCCTATTCTTGCCCTTTTGATAGCCTACCTATGAACCTTCCCCCACTGAGAAGCGGATCTGAGGAGACTCATTGAAACTCAACGCAGCAGAGAGCTCATCAAAGAGTTGCAGCCTTCCTTACCACAGGGCCATCTGCTTTCCAGTCACAGGCCAGTCCTTTACCTTTCTTTTCCCTAGTGACCTCATTAGAACCTTCTTGTGAGAGGTCAGCTGTGATGCAGGACCTTATGGATGGCCATTAAAATAATTCCTGAGGCTCCCTCACATATTAACAGTTCCTTACACTGAGAGACTAAATTCTAAAGGACTTATGGAATTCAAGAGAGACAATGCTCTCAAGGGCTTGAGCTAGAAGCAAAAGGATGGGGAAGGGGTGGGGGGTTGTCTCTGCAGGTGTCAGGGTGCTAGGAAGTTTGGTCTATTTCTTGTCTTGCATTCCTATATTCCTACTAACATGGGTTGGGTGCCTATCTATGGCAGGTGCAGTTTTAGGCAGAGGCTCCTCCCACCTGGAGCAGACAGTCCAGAAACTATAGGCCTCAGATGGAAAGTAAGAGCATCCAACCCTCTGCTTTTGATAATACATTTGCACGTGTATGTGTGTGTTATACCCAGGATGAGGGCTTAAAATGAGCAGCAGCAGTGACCCGGACAGCTAGGTGGGCTAAATCCACAAAGCCATATTCCAGAGCTGTTCTGCAATAAGTGATCCAGATAGCTCAGGCTACTGATGCCCTCTTATTGATATTTCTGAGATGGCTCCATGTCTCCCTCCCAACCTGGGAGGTGGAAGGAGTGGAAACACACAGTGGGACAGATATGGCTCCTCAGCAGCTTCCTGACCACAAAGATGGATGATCTTGGTCCCTCGAGAATCCTGGTAGACCCAGAAGACAGTCACAGAAGCCACCCCTGAGGATGCTACTCTGCAGGTCAGCCCGCCTGAGAGGGGGAGGGTCTTGCAGATTCTGGCGCCTTCCAGCACTGGTGCCTATTCCCGGTCCGGCTCTGAGCTAGTGCCCCGGACGTCATGTGTAGGGAAGAAGGGACCTAGGCACCTGTAAGGTTTCCTAAGACAGTGGTGTGGAGGGCAAGAGTGAGGAGGAGGGCCTATACTGAACTTTTCGTGAGGTTTCTGGAGCCCGTGTTTGGTTTCGATGATGATAATCTTTAGATCAAGATCAGAACGTTTTCCAGGGAGCCCGGGGCTCTCAGTCTCTGGCCCAGTCTTCCACTGGTGGCTGGGTGGTCGGTCCTGGGCCTCACCTTCTTTGGGTCCTCTGTTTCCTCCGACGGCGGGGGCTCCTTTGGAGCAGCCACGTTCCGCGCCTCTGGCAGGTTCCAGATACAAGCGTAGTTAACCGGGTCTCTGCCTGCGCTGCGGTTGGGCTTCTAGCTCCACAGTACGCCGACACGTGATGGCTCTGGGGCCTCCCGACCTCTCTCGGCTAGGGGGCTTCAGGGGCCGCCGCCTCCCTCCTGAAGCGTCCAGGTCCCACTGCAGCAAGCCATGCAAAACCCGCCAGCAGCCACCACACTTTGCAGTAGCCAACTTCGCCGCCGCCAGAAAATACCCCCAGCCAGTCCTCGGCCGCAGGCGATTGGATAGTGTCTGCGGGGCGGGAACGGGTGCTAAGCACAGCCCGCGGTCGTCGATGGTCCTGGCGCCACTACGATTGGCTGTCGGCTCCATCAGTCACGGGTTGATTGACGCCCCGCCCCGCGAGGCCGGCCCGGGTCTGGCTCCGCCCCCCTCACCGTCCGGTCCCGCCTCCCTCCGGAGCCTGATCTGCTCAGCCCGGCGTTCCGCCTCATTCGCTGATCAGGTCCGCGAATTGTCAGCGCGCTCCGGAGACTGCTGAGCCGGGGCGGCTGCCTGGCTTGCGGTGCTCCCTTCGAGGTGCGGGTCAGATTCAGTGTGTCCTGGCCCGCCGGGGCGTGAGAAACAACCGGTTCGGGGCAACTTGGAACTGAGAACCTGCAGAAGGGGCGTCGGTCTGCGATCGGGACTCGGCAAGGAGGGTGAGTGGCCGCGCGCAGGGCGAGCGGCTCCTCTCAGCGCCGTTCCGCGGCCGGCGAACCGAGAGACCGGACGCTTCCTGGCGTTCTTCTGTCGGTCAGTCAGAGCGTGGCCGCTGTGGGAGGTCAGATGGGCGAAATTTACTCAATGCCAATATGCCCACTCCCGAACTTGTTTTCAAAGCATCCCAACTCGGCCCCGAACGCGATTCGGTGTACGCACCAACTTGGCGTAATTGCCATTATTAGGTCCGGACGCGTCCCTTGTCCCTCTGCGGCGGCGACATCGCGCAGGGGGTCGGCTACCGTGCCCTCCAGTGTGCGGACAGCAGTTCTTAGATGACGTGCGGACGGGTGCCTCAAACATTAACCGGCGTCCCAGCCGGTGCGGTGCGGTAACCCGGCGTCGGCGTCTGAACCCGTGGGCTGAGCGAGCGTTCGTGTTCTGGGTGGGTCTTCAGCCGCCAGAAATTGGCCAGCCGGGTGGGCACCACCGCGGGGGCTTCAGTGCTTTGCAGATGGAAAGGAATTGACAGCGCTGCTGGACGTTAAACTTTGTAAAGTAATTACTTCCTATCAGCAGTTGCATCCGCTCCCCTCTTGAGGGGCTCCAACCTCTGAGACATCCACCCGCAAGATGTGTCTGAGGGACTTAATTAGGACCGGGGTGGGGGTGGGGGAGCTGCTGTGTCTAACACTGCCTCAGCCCGGGAGAGACCACGGCAAGGCTGCGAAAGGGACCGCCAGCTGGTCCGGTGGCGTTTGTTTGAGCACCTGTGTGTTTAAGTGATGAAGTTGTGGCAAGAACTGACAACAGAGGAGTCAAGGTTAAACCTGACACTTTGTGACTCGGTCTGGATTAGATTTCCTTTTTGTCTTTTAATGCAGCTTGTTTATCTGAGGGCAATTACATACATGAAGTTTATGTTATGTGTTGACTAAATAGTATCCAGTACAATATTTTTTTTCTCATTCTTATTTGAAATGAATGAGAGCTTATTGAGAGTACTAGAAAGAGACTTGGGTCCAGAATTTGGGAATAGATCTTTGAAAAATACATAAAATGTTGACATATATAGTTATATGTGTGTATGTGTGTATGTATATGTGGATGTACATATATATGTATTCACACATATATATACATACATATACACATACTCATATATATGTATGTGTGAAATTGATAGGTAGATGAGGTAAAAATATATGAAGGGGAAACAGCCTTGAACTTTCCCTGGGTCACAGAGATGAGCCCTTTGAGCTGTGGAGTGTATGGTGAGTGTATATGTGTAAGCATGTCTGCATCTGCCTAGTCTGTCTGGGTCAGTGTTATGTCCATGAACTTTACGAGCATTCAGTTCAATACCACTAGGTGCAGATTCCGCCTTCCTGTTTTACAGCCCAGCAGCCGCCAGCCTTCCCATCTGTTAAAACATAATGTGTATACTTGAGTCAGAGAACTGGAGTGGAGGGTGAATAGGGGGCAACCCTTTAGCAGAACTAACGTGCTACAAACAAAGCCTGCCTCTCAAGTTCTATTTTCATTCATTGTTTGTCCTGAACTTGCAGTTTTAGTGAGGGAGAAAGGAAAAAAGGGAATATTGTCTCTAGAAGTCACAAATTGTATTTTGTGAAATAATTGTAGCCATGATTTCAGGGAGGGAGAGCTTAATGGAGAAAAAATAATCCCTCTAGAAAAAGGAATGTGGTGCTTGTCACATCACCATGCAACACTGGTTTACTGCTTTGCAGTAGTGTGTATATCAGAAACTGTTTTCTTTTTCTTCTTAAGAGAATGCATTGAAACTGAATTGTTTTGTACCCCACAAAAAGACACTTTAATATAAGTAAATAGAGCTTTATTGCAGAGACTGGAGTTAAGACTTAGTAATTTTAATGAAACATGCTTTTAAGGAATTTATAAATTGGACATAAATTCATATTCAGCCCAAACACTAGTAGCAATGTTTCACAATTTATAGTTTAAAAATAATAAAAAGGCTTTATCACAAAAATTCTGATGACTAAAAGGGTATGGGAGGAGTACAGCAGCTTAATAAGTTCCTGAAGCCAAATGACTGATATTTTTTAAAACTATAAATTCCTTTAATAGCATTTGGGTGACAATAAAGGCAGTATTTTTTAAAAGCATAGTTGATATTTTCACAATAATTTTATGCTCATAATTACATTTTAATAATGGTTTTCATTATATGTGGGCAGAATAAACTGGAATGGTTTGGGGAACTCACCACAAGAAGTATTGTCTTCGCTTCTATGGTATATATAAACATTTTGGGGCAAATATACAAATCCCTAATATTTGCATGTCTAAATTTCTAAGAGCTATATAGATACAGTAATTCTCCTGCCTTAATATGAACCGTCCAAATCAACTGGGTTGCTCCTTAGAAATTTAGTTTTTAGGATGGACTCTAGTCCTAGGAATTCAATTCTGGGGTCTAGGGTGGTGCTTAGGAATCTGAATTTTCAACAGTTACACCTAAATGATTCTAATACCAGGGATTCCCTCAGGGAAATCAAGAAACACTGGAATGGTGTTTTGTGATATAAAAGGACATAGGCTGTGAACTGATTTAACAAATAATTGTTCAGAAATTTCCAGGTGGCATTTACTGGCCTTGTGAAATTTATAGGTAATGCATTAACTCTCTTTCCTCAACAATGGGTCCTTTTTGTCCAGTGTTTAGAGTTGTTTTGGAATCTTCAGCTATTCCTATTGCAAGTTGGGCCCAATTCTAAGGAAGTTTGTCTTAGGAAGCAAGGTAGTTTAAGACCCCTGCCTAATCTTATTCCTTCTACCACCCACTCCCACTCCTGGTTCCTGGGAAGCTGTGAGTTGATTTGGCCAGCCCTAGTACATATTGTTGGGCATTTCTCCCTGGAGGTTAGGAGAGGAGACACCTTTCTTCTTTCTAAAAGACATTTCAGGATGGAAGCTAAAACCAAAGTGCACACTTCAGCTGAGCTAATACGGACGTATGTATCAGGGGTCCCCTTGTGAAGTTTCACTGCTCTGTTGTTAGCCAGCAGACTGTCCCAGGCCACCCACTCATGAGCCCATGTTTGTTGTTGTTGTTGTTGTTGTTGTTTTGGGCACCAGGGATTGAACTCAGGACCACTTAACCACTAAACCATATCCCCAGCCCTTTCTGGTCTCACTGAGTTGATTAGGGCTTAGGGCCTTGCTAAGTTGCTGAGGCTAGCTTTGAACTCATGATCCTCATCCTACCTCAACCTCCCAAGCTGCTGGGATTACAGGTGTGTATCACTGCACCCTGACAGGGATACTCAGCTTCTGAAAGTCACCTTAGAAGAATCTTGAAGTATTTGTCTAATTAATTAGGTGAATTTTCATTTTATCAGAGAAAAATGCATTGAGAATTGGTTGTTACTTCTCTTTTCACTAAAATTAGTGTGGATTTTGATTTATTAATTATTGTCAATTAGTTTTTCATTTATCATTTGATACTGACATCTGGATTCTGTTTTACCATTTCAGAATATATATATAATTTTCCATAAAAGACTCCTAAATAAGATATGAAAGAGAATGAATCTATTAAAGCTGCCCTTCCCTTTTTCTACCATTCTAGTACTTAAAATACTAAATGACTTCTCAGAGGTCAAAAGTGCTCAGAATATTTACTTCCCTGATGACAAAAGGACGTGGGCTAGAGCATTGAACTTGGATTGTTCCAGACCATTGGATCATCACTGGGATTTTATGGAGCAATTTCTGTTTAAAGAAGCACTTGGCAAGCATGTTGATAGGTCACTTATCTTAACAATCCTTTGAGGACACTGATTTTTTCCCACTTTGTTCCAGATGAGCAAACAGCAGCCACAAAAGGATAATATTTAGATCCTGTCTTTCATATTCAAATATGACACCAATAGCTGAGAAGCTGGCCTTATGTTTTGAACTGTTTTTATTTAGCATTGTGGTGATAAGATAGGGTTATGCTTAGTCATTTATACCATATATCTATTTTTTTATTCTTTTCTTTTAATCTTTTCATACTGAATGTGACATTATAACAGTTTTCTTTATAAAGTTAACCATCATATATGATAATTGGTTCAATAATCCTGACCTTAATCAGCCAACCTTGACCTAGAGAGGCAAATAATTTGCTAAAGTTCCCAGAGCCCAACGGAGCAAAGCCTATGTGAATTCTTTGGGCCTGTATTTTAACCTTGTGCTGGTTTGTCTATTGTCATGTCATGCTACCTAGAATGTTTTTAAACTTGCAAAATAGAATTAATTATATTTTATTTGCCTAGCTTCTGCATGATTTGATGGACTAACAAAAGTTGAAAAGCCTGAGGTATACCACAGTTTCTGACCATACAATGGCCCTGGTTTGAGCCTAATTTAAAAACAAAAACAAAACTTCAGTGAATTGCTGCTTTTCTTAAAACTAGGCCATAGGTCATTGTTTCTATGTAACAATTTTAACTTTATTTTTTTGGCCATGGCATACTTCTGGCATCTAACTTTGATAAACTCTTTTCAAGTTTTTGACCCTTCTTTCCTTATCCTTATTCCCATGGTGAAGTCAACTTGTAAAAAATCCACTTTTCAAGTCAATCTGTTCTTTTAGCTTCTACTGATACTTAAATGTTAGACATTTTAACTAACATGTCTCCAAAACATTCCTTCAAGCTCCTACCTTTGCTGTAAATTTGTGGGTCTACTAATATCTCCTAACAGTGCATCTATTTGACCTAGAGAAGTTTTACTTTAGCTTTAGCTTTGTGGATTTAATGAAACAGCGGTTTAAAAAAAAAAAAAGAAAGAAAAAAGTGAAGGATGATATTGAAGTCATGTTGATATGTGTATCATATTAGATATCCCAGCTTATAGTGTCAGTGGGAAATTTAAGATCCAGAAGAATGAAGTGACAGATGCTCTCATCTGTGGCCTTACAGACACTCCTAACATAAGCTGAAAAACATAACTGAAGACAGCAGAT